CCCCAGCTGCTTTCTGAGTATGATGATTACTCATGGAACATGGGCAACCTCACACACACCATGACCAACCGGCGCTACGCCGAGCCCTGCGTGGTGAGCTGGCTGGCGCTGGGGCAGGGGGGCTGTTCGGTCTGCAAATGGTGGCATCCCCGGAAGCAGCCCCGTCCAGCATCCTCCGTCCGCCCACCTCCTCGGTGCCCCTCGCCCTCGCACAGGGGTATGCGGAGTCCCACGACCAGGCGCTGGTGGGGGACAAGACCATCGCCTTCTGGCTGATGGACAAGGACATGTACGAGCGCATGTCCCTCTCCGGACCCAGGTGAGTGGACTGTGGGTGTGGGTTGGGCAGCTGGGACCGATGGGGGGAAACAAGGAAGGCCTGCCGCCCTTTGGCCCTGTCTGCTTCAGACCAAGGCCCCACGAAGCGACGCTGCCACCCCAGGGCTCTGTATAGGCCACCTGCCTCCGCTGCTCCACCGATCCCACCTTGACACCTCCCCCCATAAGTCCCATCCCCCCACTCCCAACCCAACCAGCTCTGGCGCGGTGGACCGCGGCATCGCGCTGCACAAGATGATCCGCCTGATCACCATGTGCCTGGGGGGCGAGTCCTACCTCAACTTCATGGGCAACGAGTTTGGCCACCCCGAGTGGATCGACTTCCCACGTGACGACACCTACGACACCAGCACGGGCGCCTTTGTCCCCGGCAACGGCGGGTCCCTGGACAAGTGCCGCCGGCGCTGGGACCTGGCCGACGACCCCAGCCTGCGCTACAAGTTCATGGCCGCCTTTGACCGCGCCATGAACCACCTGGACAAGGTGTGCGCCGGCTGGGTGCCTTTCTTGACGGCGTTTGTTCTCGGGGGCTGGGGTAGGAGGCGTTTGCGGTGAAGATGGCGTGAACCTTCTCGCGGCCAAGGACCCTGCTGCGGGGTGAGCAGGCCGACAGGGAGCGGGCCTGTGCCTTCATCCCGGGGGCCGAATCGACATGCGCAGGCCCGTTGAAGCCAGTCACACCCCCATCACCCCGCAGGCGTATGGCTTCGTGGCAGCGGAGCACCAGTGGGTGTCGCGCAAGGACGAGGGCGACAAGGTCATTGTGGTCGAGCGGGGTGAGTAGCTGTTGGAATGCGGATGTGTGTGCGGATTCCAATAGATAGTGCGGAGTAAGCATGAACCCGAACACAGCTGCTGGCTGGCCTGCGGGATGCAGAGCCCTGCCCTGAGCTCACCTGCCACTGCGCCCACCTAATCTTGCAGGGGACCTCATCTTCGTGTTCAACTTCCACCCCGTGTCGTCCTTCACCGACTACAAGGTCGGCGCATACAAGCCCGGCCCATATAAGGCGAGGAGGGGGAGACGGGGGGTTGTGCAGGGCAGCCCCTGCAAAATCAGGTGGCTTGTAAGTGGGGCCCTTGATGCCGGCCCATTGCCTGCCCACATCCGCCAGCCGTTCATCTCCCCTTCCTTTCCCACCCTCGCTCCAGATTGTGCTGAGCAGTGATGAGGAGGTGTTTGGTGGGTACACCAACGTCAGCAAGAAGTATGACGCCGAGATCCACACAGAGGTGAGTGAGCTCACGCGGATGTACTGTTGGGAAGGGATCTGTTCTGGGGAATCTTGTTGAAGACTGAATCAGCCGGGTGTGGCGGCGGCTACCTGATGCCTCCAGGGTGCAGCGGGCACTGCTGACTTTCCTGCTGCGCAGAGCTGGGACGAATGTTGCACTCAGTAATGTTGTACCCTTCAAGCACCTGGTAATCCTCCTTCCCATGACTCTCACCCGCCACTCCCCTGTCCCCCTGCCCGCAGGAGGGCAACTACGACAACCGCCCACACTCCATGAAGGTGTATGCGCCGTCACGCACAGTGGTGGTCTATGCACCCGCAGACACCACCGACGCCAAGGCCGACTCCAAGCCCGAGGGCATCCCCGGGCTCGGAGTCAAGGGAGTTGGGCCCTACTTTGCCGTGTGAGGGGCGGTGCACCGCATGCTCACTCCCCTCTGAATCCCCGTCTTCTTTTTGGCAGTGAATGATTGACTTTCCCGAGAGGCCTCCCACCGAGAGTCAGCGTTTGGAAGGTCAATTGCGAGAAAGGATGTGCACAATGCTGCTGCATGGCCACTGTTCTTTCTCATGCTCGGTCCCGTGCCTCTGTCAAGTCGCCATCAGCATGGGTGCTGTTGTGTTCGAGGGGAAAGGGGGCGCGGGCGCGAAAAGTTCCTTGTCGTTGCGGGTATGTTGAAGAGTGCGATACCGATCCCTTCGACGACAATTTTGACCCATCCAGACTACAAAGGACGCCAGAATACCCCACGGTGGCGTCGCAAGCGACGGCACCGAGCGATATTGCAAGAGCACATCCTCACATAAGTCAGCAGCGGGTCCGCACCATGCAGCTCTTTGTCCGGCTGAATGACCATGAGCATGTCGTGAACGCATGCCCTCGTAGTGATTCAAAGGAGGTCATCTCGCTCCTCTGCGCCACCAGCAATCCTGGACCGTCTTATGAGGGACTGGTGAGTGGGGTTGCTGTATTTTGGCGGAGAATCAGGACAGACGCAACGCCATTTCATCATAACTCGACTGGAATTTGTTTGATTCATCACCACAGGTTGTCCGGCACAATGGCCGCAGCTTGGAGACCAGCCTGGAGGAGGCAGGGGTGAAGCCATGGGATGTTCTCGAGATCCTCCCTCGTCTGCTTGGAGGGGGCGGGGATGGAGGTGCCACCGGGGCCGAGTCGCGATCTTGCTACCTCGAGATGTACCTGGGGCGCAAACCAGACAAGGTAGGACGAGGGTAGGCTGCTTGACACCCTGAAGCGGGAGGGCTGGGAGGGATCACATCAGGCCTCTGCTCATGTTCTCCTGCCCTTCCTTTGCCACATTTCGCTCAGGTGAATCCTGAAGAAGAGAGGCTAGCACGTTGGACCACGTGTCACCTGTCTGGCGAGCCACTGAGTCGCCCCATTGTGGCGGACGAGCTGGGGAACCTGTTCAACAAAGAGGCCTTGCTACAGGCCCTGCTCTCCAAGTCGCTGCCGACAGGTTTGAAGCACATCCAGGGTCTGAAGCATGTCGTGGAATTGAAGCTGGAAGAGGCCGGCTCGAAAGGTCTGGGAGTTGGTGCAGGGTACAGGATTGGTGAGGGACTGAACTGAACCGGTATGGGGCCCAGATTCTGCTTTCTCTCTGATGCCCACCCAGTCTGCAGCCAATGGCAACAAAAGCAGGTTGTCACCTTGGACATTTACATGCTCAAGCCATATGCATGGTGCAACATGTGCAGGACCTCACATCTGCATTCCCTTAGTAACCATGTCCCCTCTTTCCACTGACAGGCGGCAGCGCTCATTTCGTCTGTCCTGTCACGGGTCTGGACTTTAATGGCAAGGCCCGGTTCCTCATCCACTTCAAGACGGGGCTGGTCGTGAGCGAGCGTGGCTGGAAGGAGGTGAGGGGTGTGTAAGGGCTGATGGTCCTGATAATGGAGTGTGTTCTGTCTGGTGTCAAGAGGCTTCTGTAGCAAGCCGCTATCACGAAATGGCATGCTGCCTGTTGCTGGCCTTCTGGTCAGTAGTGGTTGCCTGAGCTCATACCTATTCCAAGCACAGTCTAGAACTTCCCCCTGCCAATTCCATTCCCAGGTCCCAAAGGTAGTGGAGGAGCTGGCCGCCTCCCCGTGCACTCCTGAGAGCTGGATCCCAGTGAACCCCACCGGGGAGGAGGCCGCCGCCCTGGTCTCGGCCCTGGCTGCACGGCGAGAGGCGCAGCGCGCCAGCAAGAAGGAGAAGCGCGCCGTGGGAGTGGCCGCCAGCAACGGTGGCACGGGCGAGACCGCGGCCGAGCCAGGATCCAAGCGCGCCGGACCCCCGACCGCCACGCTGCCCGCCGCCCTGGCGCCCAAGAAGTCCAAGGTGTCGGAGCTGGCCCCTGCCAACGCCAACAAGAAGATCTGGAACAGCATCTTCACACATGCCAGTGGCCTGGGTCCTGCCGCCGACGGCTACATGCTGCGTGGCACAGCGTCGCGTGGCATGAAGATGGCCTGATGCGCTTGTGACACTGACCTTGTGCCAGACGCCTCTGTCGAGCCCTGTCCTGCCAGCCTGACGAGGCTCTTTCCTTGTACATGCTTCCAATGACACTTGTCTGGTCACAATGATGTGGCCACAGGAGAAAAGGTACAATCAGATCCTCACCAGCGTAGATCCTTGGTGCTCTTCTAGAGCTTTGCACTGCCGTGTGTGGGAAGGTTGAGGTCGGGAATGCCTGCTGGCCTCTCGAAGAAGGAATGCACATACTCGTCCGTCACCTGCAGTGAGTTGTGATATGTGTGGAGGGTTGATGACAGGTGGGCACGATGGATTAATAACATGGCCAAAGGGGGCAAGGCAGGGGGACAGAGGGGCGTGGTTTGGCAGTACAAGGGTTACAAAGCAGCCGCAGGAAACCCAATGCTGACTTGCAAGAAACAATCATGAGGGATCGCTCTCTAACTGCCCAAGCTTCTTTCCCCTTTCTCCCTCTCCCCAACCCCTTCCCTCACCTCTGCGAGCGTGGCTGGGTTCCACTGCGGCTTGTTGCACCGGTCTATGAGCATCGCCCGCACACCCTCCACGAAGTCGCTCCTGGGGTTCAGTAGAACGTTGTGCACCATGCGATTCTCCATCGACAGGCACTGGGCCAGGTTGGGGAGAGCGGCGCCCCTCCTCAACTGCTCAAAGGTCACCTTCTGGCTCGTGGGAGAGCCCCTGCGCAACGATTGTAGGTGGAGGGATGGTTATTGAGTTTGCTGACGGCTGGATCTCATTCGAAGGGATGTCGTTTGTTGGCAGGCAGGAAGGGGAGCGGGGATCTAAAAGTGGACCTACGGCAGGGTCCCCTCACCAATTGCAACTCCATCCAGCCCTCCCTTTGCTCAGAATTCACCACCCCCTCTGTCACCGAAAGGTTTCATCCCCCTCCCCCTCTGGGCCCCCCCTTCCTCCCCAAAGGATGCATACTTGCATATGAGGTGGAGCACCCCCCTTGCCCAGGTCTGGTTAGCATGTTGCTCCAGTGCTGCATAAACCTCCTCCACACTTTTCCGCCCAACAAATGCGGCGTCAATGTCCCGCCTGACCTCGAGGGGCGGGGGGGGGGGCAGAGGACACGGTTCATCAGAGCTGCTTGCTTCATGGTGAGTGTCAAGCCTTCGGCCATTGCGCAGAGGAGCAAATCAAGCCCAGCCCTAGATCCTCCGTCCCAAACATCCGCCAGCTCACCTCTGGGCGGCCAGCTCCCCGGCTGGAACTTGTGTGCGAGCCTGGAAGCTGTCCAGCAGCTCGCCGATGCTCTGCTTGGAGGCCCCATGCCCCAGCCCCTGGATGGCCGCTTCCAGCTCCGGCAGCAGCGCAGAGGGGAGGTAGTGTGTGGCCAGCGTGGCATGCTTCACATCCGCTCCCTGGGGAGGGGTGGAATAGGAGGCCAGGGATGATTGATCGCCAGCCGTCTTATGATTTGGTGGCAGCTAACCTCTCCCGAAACCATCATGCAAGCCCAAACAGGCCACCAGAGATCTATCCCGACCCCATAGAAGAGCGCCCCAGGCCCAAGCCCTGTGCACCTTGAGCCGTGCGCCGGAGAGGGCCATGTACAGGCCTGTCCCGCCCGGCAGCCTGGGCAGGTAGAAGGAGCCGCCCACGTCGGGGTACAGGCCAATGGCGCACTCTGGCATGGCAAAAAGGGTCCTGTATGGGGTGCAGTGGGGTGAGGTGGGATGAGGAGCGGTGGCAGGGATGGCCATGGCTTGCCGCACTGGCTTCAAGCAGAGCAAAGAGCACGCGGCACGGCACCGGGCAGTCACATGTAGGTCCACCTGCCCTCACCTCTCCGTGGCCACGCGGAAGGTGCCGTGCACCGAAACCCCGGCCCCGCCGCCAAAGGTGATGCCGTCGATGAGGGCCACGTGGGGCTTGCGCAGGGTGTGGATGAGGTGGTCCAGCAGGTACTCGGTCTGGAAGAAGTCAGACCCCGCCTGCGTGTCGCCGGCCATCGCTCGCTGCGCCACCTGTTTAACATCGCCCCCGGCGCAGAATGCCTAGGGAGGATCAAGCACGGGAGATATGTGGGCAAGTGGGGCTTTTAGGTATCGTAGAGCAGGGCAAACAGGCGTACGGTATAGTACTCCTCTCCCAATCAGGCTTGATGACAGGGGCCTAGGCTGCTTCACCTTTTCGCCTGCGGCTTTGAGGACGACACAAGATACTTCTGACGAGGCATCCCAGTCAGTGTAGATTTTCAGTAGGGTTCTGACCTGAGTTATGAGGCATTGCAAGGTCGGAGTAGGGTGATGGGTGCTGCATCAGGCCCAGAGGCTCTGGGCAAACAGTGGTGGACATTCCAGCAAAGCACCCCCTGCCATGTTACCATACCATGTTTGTGTTGAGGGCATTGAGAGCTTTTGGTCTGTTCAGGGTAGCTATGGCCACCCCATTGGTGACCTCGTGCAGGATCTAGTCGAAGGGAGGGGTGGGAAAGGTGGGTGAGGGTCGCCTCATCCTCCTACAATCTAAAGCTGGAGGAAACCCTGGTTCCGGTGCTGCATCCGGGATCCCGCCCGCGGCCCAGCGTCCTGCAATTGCTTTCAATTGACTCGACTCATTCCTGAAACACACCTCGTCGGAGCTGGTGGAGGTCGACATGGTCGCTGATTGGTCTGGGAATCGGTAGGTACGAGCCAGGCACCGAGGAGCTCCTGACGCGACAGGCCTGGCGTAAGCGCTCCCAGTAAGAACTCCTATCAATACGGAGCGCAGCATGTGCGATCCAGTCACCTCAGTGAGTCTGACAGGTGATAGGAAGGTCTAAGCGCTTTGGGCGGGTGTGATCTCGCAGAGGTCGTTGCCTAATGCAGCCTTCAGATGCCCCTCGAATCCGACTCAGCCTACGCAGACCAGGGCGCGCTCGTCCATCGCGCGCCTACTCCTGGACATGCCTGATCACACCGCGACAAGCATACTAAGTGCGGACTGCACATTGGAAGTGCTTTCACAATACAGACATCTCCTCGCGGCATTCGAATGGTAGCAAGGGCCTGAAGGAAGCTCGGAAGCGCGGCGGAGGGCCAGGGCACGATGCTGCGAAACACGTCCTCTGGGGCGTTGCCTACTGCATTCCGTCCGAGGGGTCCCTTCTCCTCCCAATCCGGAGATGGTGAGGGCTCGTCCTGCAGAGATTCTGGTCTGCATTGGATCACCGCTTACAGTGGTATGTATACTTTGTACACTGTCTCGGCATCACTCGCCCACTCACCTTCGCTCGATCCAGTGACGTATGTGAACGCGGAGGCAGTGGTCAGGGAATTCCATGAGGCCCTGGCCCGTTCCAGTGATATGGCCGTGGCGGTGGCTGCCATTACAGCCCTCACTTCCGTCATTCGGTCCAGCTCGGCCTCCACTGTGATGGGGCTGGAGAAGGAGCTCAAGGACGCAGCCAATGCCCTACAAAGGTGGGGTTCCTGGGGAGTCAACGTGAGAGCGTTTGACCTGCGTGCAACTTGCCATGCATCTCAAAGCCCTGAATGGGTCCATGTGCTGACAAGGTCCTGCCCATAAATCCTCGCCCGGTAAATCCTCGCCTCCCTCCTTACCGTCACCGACACTCCCCACAGATGCAACGACACAGCCATCTCCCTCAAGGCAGGGTGTGACCTATTTCTGAGGTATACAACCCGGACATCTGCCTTGGAGCTGGACAATTTTGCGATGGTGAAGAAGAAGCTGATCGAGAGGGGTCGCCACTTTGCAGGTGAGCTACCTGTCGTAGTGAATGGTAACTGCTGACAGTGGCCAGCTATGGGAAGATCCAGATACTGAAAGTGTCTTCTTTACTTCAGCCACTTGATTGCCTGGATATGAAGTATCTAGGTGTTTACTGCTCCGAAATGGGTATCGTCAGTGTTTGACTGCGGCCCCGCTCCCAATCTCTTCGCAGACACCTCGAAGCGGGCGCGCGCTGCGATTGCTGAGCAGGGTCAGAGGTTCATCCGGTCAGGATTCACCGTGTTGTGCCACGGGTACTCCCGCGTGGCACTGGCGGTGCTCAGGAAGGCCGTCGCAGCGGTGAGGGGATGCCATTGTGCGGGCTTGGGGCGCTGCTAGACTTGGCGGGTTGCTGTTCTACTGAAATTTCAATACGTTGGCACCTGGAGGAGGCTAGCCCTGGCGTCCTGAGGCTCCGGCCTGCCTCCCCTTCCAACCACGCAGGGCACCCAGTTCAATGTGATTGTGACAGAGGGCCGCCCCGACGAGACCGGGATCACAACCGCACGCGCGCTCAAGGACTCGGGCGTGCCCACCTCTCTCGTCCTGGACAGTGGCGTGGGTTATGTAATGGAAAAGTGCGTGGTGTGCGAGGACTTTGCTGTGATGCTTGGACCCTGGCCAGGCAGCTGGGAGGAGGGGCCGCGCTGGTCATGCTGGATACCATGCTCCTGGCTGGGCCTGCCAGCCGGGCTCTTGCTGCTCTGCCGCGACCCTCCTGTGCCCTCCCCTTCACTCCCCTTCTTACCCCCACTTCCTCTTCCCTGCTCCCTCTCCTATCCCACAATCATACTCCCCCATCCCAGCTTCCCCACTTTCCTCCTCCTTGCCAGGGTGGACATGGTGCTGGTGGGCGCCGAGGCAGTGGTGGAGAACGGCGGCGTGATCAACAAGCTGGGCACCTACCAGATTGCGATCGCGGCGCGGGCGCACTCTGTCCCTCTCTACGTGGCGGCCGAGTCGTACAAGTTCGCGCGCCTGTACCCGCTGAGTCAGCGCGACCTGCCCCTGGAGCGCAAGCAGATCGACTTTGGCCCGCTGCTGCCGCCCCAGGTGGCGGTGGACAACCCCTCGCGCGACTTCACGCCGCCGGCCTACATCTCCCTCCTTTTCACCGACCTGGGCGTGCTCACGCCCGCGGCAGTCTCCGACGAGCTCATCCAGCTGTACAGTTGAGGAGCCTGGCGGCGTAGATCGGGCCGAGATGCTGGGGGATTGGCAGCTCCTCTACAGGTGCCATGCTCGTCTGGAGGTGGGAGGTGCGAGCGTCCTTGCCGGGTCCCTCACAGTGCAGCGATGCAGGACGCAACGGTGCAGATGGAATGGCGGCTGAGACCGTCTGAGTCACTTGCCGAAGGCTGCAGGAGGCCATGGCGCTGGTGCCCGGACCCCTTTCCCTGCTGGTTCAATCTGCCACACGCAGCCAGTAGCACCCCCTGTCACTGCCACCCTGCTGCGTTATACAAGAAAAGGAGGAAGCAGCCTGCCAGGGGCCTATCGGACGGGCACAATGTCGTCGATCTTGAGGATCATGCGCACGCACTCCGTGGCCAGGGAAAGCGCAGAGGAGGTCACCAGCAGGGGCTGCACCACCTTCTCCTCCAGCATGTCCGTCACCGACCCCTTGCGCACATTGATGCCTGGGAGGGCGGGTAGATGGGGTCATGGATGAGTCAGGAGGTTGGCTGATGGGGAGGAGGCGTCGGTGATCATGGGCCCAATCTTTGCATGACAAACATTGGAGGCCTTGGAACAGTCAGTCCAGCCACCCATCAGCCTCATGTGCTGAAAACAACATCAAGTCACCGTGGTGTTGGTGCCCTGCGGCATGCAGCCGCCGCAGCTCGGTCACCACCTCGATGGGATTCATGCCCGCATTCTCCGCCAGGGTGCCCGGGATGATCTCCAGGGCCTCGGCAAACGCCCGCACGCACACGCTCTCCATGCCCTGCAAGGGTGTAGTGTTTGAGGGGGGGGTCATAGCAGATGGGTATTGGACACGAGTCACTGCCAAGGCACATGAAGAGACGGTGCCCCTGGCGCAGCCTCCTCCCTCGATCTCCACCTCGATACCCAACCTCACAACCAGACGCCGTCCCAAAATCCCAGGACAATGTAGGCTGCACCAACTGATGTCCCTCAGCCAACAATACACGCCTGACACAACACACCCCTACAACATTCCTAACCCCCCACCACCACCCCAATACCTCCAAAACCCTTGCTCACCACCAGGGTCTTGGCCCATTGGCCCAACTTGACGGCCAGCTCGATCTCCGGCGACCCGCCGCCGGCGATGAGGAACCGCTTCTGGACCAGGCAGCGCACGACGCAGAGCGCGTCGTGCAGGGAGCGCTCCGCCTCCTCCAGCACCAGCGAGTTGGAGCCGCGGAGGAGCACGGTGGCGGTCGCTCCGCGCGCCTCGATTCCCGTCACCTTGACCACGCGGCCCGAGCCGACGGGCACCTCCTCCACCAGGCCCGCGCTGGCAAGCTTGTCGGCGCGCATGTGGTCCACGTGCGCAATGGGCGAGCAGCCCAGCGTCTTGCTGCATGGTTGGGGTGGCAAGGGAAGGGTGTGAGGTGTGTGTGTGAGTGTGTGTGTGTGTGTGTGTGAGAGAGAAGATGGCGGAGCATGGCGTGGGCATTGCTTGAGAGTCTAAAGGCATGAGCCATGGATGTGCTCGACGCCCAGCTTCTCCCAAACCAGCAGCCCCACCTAATGAACTCGATGTCTTCGCGCTCAATGTCCTTCACCACCATGATCTTGGCCTTGGCCTGGGGCAGCGTAAAGAGGCAGTGTGAACGGGTACAAGCAGGGGTGGGAACAGGGAAGAAATCATGCCCTCCAGACAGGATGCAGACTTGGGCGTGAGTTCCTGTGCTCTTGTTGCTGAGGGCACCCCCTGACACAAACAGCTACCCTGCTCGGCGCATGCACCGACACATCTCAACAGCCATTACATGACCCCACACTCGCACCAGGTAGTGCAGGGAGAGGTCGGTGACGGCGTCGCGCAGGATGGACTTCTGGATGAGCAGGACATTGGCGCCAGAGGCCCTGATCTTCTTCACCAGCTGCAGGATGTAGTTGCGCTCCTCCTGCTCATGTGATGTGAGTGGGGACGGGGTCGGAGGGTGTGTGTGCGAGCCCATGGGAGGAAAGTGCGGGACAACTGCAGAAAATGAGCGGGAACTGCATGCTCTCTGGTACGCCGGACATGACTGCGCCAACAGGCAAACCCATTCATGGTCAGTTTGTGCTGGCCTTTCCAGAATCATATCAGTCGGTGCTCCACAAGGTTCCAGCCTTCGAAGACGCTACGGGTGCATACCCATTCCTACTCGCCTTCAGGATGCGGTCCATCTGTGCATAGTCGCTGATGATGACATTGTTCTCGATGTCGGACTTGGGGGGGGAGACTTGGAACTGTAACATGGTACATGGGACGATGGGTGAGGGAAGGGATGGGAAATTTGGGCAGTGCACAGCAGTGTGTGGCTGTGCAGCCAGGGGGCAGGCCCTCCATCGCTCCTCCTCCTGGTGCTCCAAGCCCAGCCTCCTCGCACTGATGCAATGCTTTGAGTATCTGAAAAAACGTAACCCTCCGACAGCGGCGAGATTCTGGAGCTCAGTCCAACTGTTTTGCGGATTGGTGCCGTCCCTCATCCCCGATGCCATTCTTTACACACTGCCAACCCCCCTCGGCCCTTCGTCTCCTCCCAGATTCACAACCCTCCTCCCCTCTAAAGCCACCTGGATGAGCGCAATCTTGGCGTTCTCGATGCGTGTGGGACCGCTGGCAGCCTTTGCCGCGCGCTGGTCCAGCACCAGGCCATCCACCATCTCGCTGTCGTCGATGGTGCCACCGACCTTGGTCACCAGGCGTACGTCCCGCAGGTCGGTGGCCTCGGGGCGGGCAGGGTCGGAAACGGCCAGGATGCAGTCGGCGGCCATGGGGGAGAGGAGGGAGGAGTACTGGTGCACGACCTTGGAGGAGAGGGAGGTGTTGGCAGCGCGGACCAGCGCGTCGCGGTCCCCCGCCGCCACGGGCAGCGCAGCGGCCTCCAAGAAGCCCAGCGCACGGCCCACGGCGAGGTTGAAGGCGTCGGAGATGATGGTGGGGTGCACGCCGCGCTCCAGCAGCTCCAGCGACTTCTTCAGCAGCGCGCCGGCCAGCACCGTGACTGAGGTGGTGCCGTCGCCGGCCACCACGTCCTGCGACTTTGCCAGCTCCACCAGCATCTTGGCCGCCGGCTGCTCCACCGTCATTTTGTTCAGGATGGTGGCGCCGTCGTTGGTGATGATCACGTGGCCGTCAGCCTGAGCCACCTGCAATGTGAAAAGGTCAGTTTGTGTTGTAGGGGTTGGGGGGTATTTGGTGGGTGGAGGGAGGGGACGCGTAAGGGGGGGCCAGAAGGGGGCGGTCCTGGTATGCAGGCAGCATGCAGGGCGAGCGCCTGGGGATCCAGCCCATGCCAGGGATGGCCAACATGGGATGGCCTCTGGAAGCCAGAGGTATGGCTTCTACAGCACGCTCGCCACGGGCTGCAAGGCTGCAGGCCAGGCATGCCCGGCCGCCCACCTAGTCCACAACCCCCCAAAGTCCCCGCACCATCTTGTCGGCGCCGCGGGGCCCCAGGGAGGTGCGGATCGCATCTGCCACGGCCTTGGCGGCCTCGATGTTCATCAGTCGCACATCCTTCTTGTTCGCATTCTCCCTGCGAATGGCCAGGCAGGGCAGGCAGATTGCAGGCCCGCTCACTCTTCCGTGGCCCAGGTGAGGCTCGACACCCTACAAGCCATACCCTACAATAGCATCCACCTCAGTCCACCTGCCCACCTGAGGAATTCACCCTTCCGAGCTGCAGGTGCTGCTGCGGTGGTCCCCGCCATCACCTGATCACCCGAGCAAACGTGGCGCCAAAGCCCGGTACTGGTCAACTTGTCTTGGAGATAACAGACTTGTATTCGATCTGGTTGCTCGAGGCAGTTCGGCCTCCTGTGGGCGCAGGCCAAGGAGTCCTGGTCGGGTGGGTCTGCCCATGCCGCTTCAAGCGCCTGGAGAAGAAAGGGCAGCCAAAGGTAACCTGCTCGTAATGCTCGCCGGGGCGCTCGCGACCGGGTGCCACCTCTATACGAGCAGCCATTACCTGCCTGACCGCGCGAAGCTGAAACCAGGTCAATTCACGGCCGAGCCGAAAAGCACGTTGGCCGAGTCGTCCATTCCCGTTCGAACGACTGAGCTGCACCTGGCGAGGCCGCTGTCATTGACCTCATCCCATGGCGTGGCTGCGCTGACGCATGGCAGAGACACGACCAAAACAGAGTATCAGGATGCCGAGTTTCACCAAGGCCCTGCCCCGCCTCGGAGGGGCGCTGGTGCCCAAACCCGCGTCGAGCGTGACAGAGTCGGGCAAGTCGGACTTGCTCATGCGCTTCTTCGAGAGCGAGTGGTTTGACACCTGGATAGCACTAACGTGAGTCTCGAATCCTGGCGAACAGAAGAAGGCGCATGCAGCCTGTCGGGGCACGCGCTGGTCTCGGCCGCGGTGGGAAGGTCATTCCAAACTCCGGCCCGGCCCCCTGCCCCCCTCTCCCCAGGTACCTCTACAAGAGCAGCTCCCCCGGGGTCCAGGACTACCTGTGCAACCGTTTGTACACCCTGCCTGAGAGGGAGGTGGAAAAGTACCTCTCCCAGCTCACGCAGCTGTGCATGATCCGGCCCAACAGCTCGCTGGAGAGGGTGATCATCGACCTGTGCTCCCGCTCCCTCCGCATCGCGATCAAGGTGAGCGTTGCAAGGCGATGCCATGGACGCCGCAGGCATGGAGTTAGGTGTCCTGGGCTGTGCTTTTCCGCCGCGGCCTGTGTTTTCCTGGTCGATGAATGCCGCTACAACACGTCAACGACTCCCCTTCTCAGCATCGCAACCATGCCCACCCATGCAGACGTACTGGCTGCTGCTGGCCATCTCCCAGGACAATCCGCACGACCTGCATGTCATCGCGCTGCGGGATCGATGCGAGCAGGCGGCCCTGGAGGGGACGTGGGTGAGTGTGAAGGACGATGAGTGGGGCGCTGCCCGCAAGGGCCCCGCAGTGATGGGCATCCTGGCTCTGCTGCCTGGCGAGATTGTAATTCCCGCGAACTCGCGCGTCCACTACAATGTCCTGCCCAAGCTCTGGATGGCCCATCTGTCCCCTGGTCCCTGCTTGACCACCCTCCCATCAATCCTCATGCACAACCACAGGACCTGCCGTTCAAGGACTCGCGCCTTCCCCCCCTCCGCATCTCCCCCTCCTTCGTGGACATGGGGCTGGCGTCCCCGCCGCGCAGCCCGCGCGGCACGCTGTCCGTCCTCTCCTCCACCCCCTCCCACGTGCCCTCCCTGCTGGGTGCGGGCGAGCGCTGGGGCTCCCCCGACCGCGACGCGCCGGGCGACACGCTTTCCCGCGCGGCCTCCCCCGACTGCGCCTCCCCCCGCCCCATGTCGCCCGACGGCTTCGGCTCTGGGGTTTACTCCTCCGTGTTCATGGACACCGGCGTGGAGGGCCTGCTGGGCTACTCAGCGCCGCAGGGTGCCGAGGCGCAGGTCGGCGCGCGGCGCGGGCGCGACGACCACGCGACACCGGCGCCCGGCCCGCGGCGCAGAGCCTCCACCAGCACCGACAGCGGTGGCCGGGAGGGGGCCCAGGCCTGGCTGGAGCGCACGCCCGCCTCCCCGGGCGCCTCCGGCACCAGCCCGGACCCGGCCTCGGCGCTGAGCCCGCCGAACTCGCCGCGGCGGCGGCAGACCACCTTTGGCGCCACCCTGGACTTCATCGACGCCCTGTGCACTGCCAGCTCTGGCCTCACCGCCTTCCCACGTGAGGGGGTGGGGAGTTGAGGGCTTATGGGCGAGGGTTTGTGTTTGAGCAGGACTGTAGACCCAGTGCCGATGAGGGTGCACCTGCACCAGCCCAGGAGCCTTGGCACAAGTCTGTCTGCCCATGCCTCGTCTCCGCCTCACGGTTTCCCTGTCTGCATGGACGCTTCTCCATGCCCTGGCTCCCATACACAGTCATCCCCCACCACCCCTCTGCTCACCCCCCCCCCCCAAAAAAAAAAAAAAACCAAATCGCAGCTGAGGACCGGGAGTGGGCGTTGCGCCAGGTGCTGGCATCCATCAACGTGCAGATCGAGGCGGCGAGCCGCAAGGGCGTTGCTGTCTGGTTCCCCATGGGCACGCGGGCGCGGCGCGTGGTGCGCTTGGCCCCGCGCGAGTCGAACCTGCTGAATAGCCGCGAGAAGGCGCCGTTTACGCTGTACGTCGAGGTGCTGGATGAGGAGGTCGCGGCGGCTGAGGGCGGCGAGGGGGCCGGGGTGGGTGGCGAGAAATTGGGCTGCGGCCCGGCCCGCAACGCGGGCGAGCCCACGCCCTCTCGCCCGCCCGCCCTGCAGCGCATGAGCTCCGAGCCGGAGGACAGCCTGACCGGCCCGGGCGACGAGGGCAGCGACAGCGGCGGCAGCTCCTCCGCCGCCGCGCTCATGGCCGTGCGTGCCAGCAGCGGGACCTACCTCGGCGCCCAGCTCTTCGGGCCCGCCCGGTCGGAGGACGCGGCGGGGGTTGACGGCGCGGTGGAGGGGGAGCCCAGCACCGCGGCACCACCGTCGCTCTCCGCGTCGGCGTCGCCGCGCGCCGGCAGCACGCCAGGCTGGGCGCCCGGCGCCGGCGCGCCCTCCCCGCGCAGCAGCCCCGCCAGCGAGCCCTCCTTCGGCTCGACCCTGGGCGCCGCGCCCGGCATCGGCGCCGGGACCTGGATCGGCGCCGCGCCGCCCTCCGCCGCTTCCAGTCCGCTGCACGCCGCAACGGCGCGCGGCGCGACCTCGGGCGCCGGCCCCCGCACGCCGTCGACCACCTTCGCCAGGCCCCACCCTGCCGACCTCGGCACGGGGCTGGACCGGGCGCTGGCGGGCCTGCGCGGCGACGCGCCGCTGGTGCGCCTGCACCTGGACGTCCTGGACGACGACCCTGCGCCCGGGTCGGAGGACGAGGACGAGCGCGGGCCCAGCGTTCTCAGCAGCACAGCCAGCAGCCTGGAGGGGGGCTGCGTCGCCGAGCGCAGTTCGGCCAGCCCCGCGCCGGGGCCCCTGCGCTGCCTGCGCCCCGCCTTTGGCCCCTCGGTGCACCCCGAGCCCTCGGCCGCGGTGGCGGTGGTGCGCGCGCGGCCGGCCAGCGCGCCGCGCGGGGACGGCCGTCTCGTCGCCGG